GACGCTCTTGCCCAGCACTGCGGATGTTTGTTTTCCCTTGTGAATTGTACCAGCTTGGCAGGGAAACGTTGTCGCTATCATCACTATCAGGTGATGATCCAAGGCACAGTGCAGAAGCGTCAGGCTTCATTTCGGAGCAGATAATTTGGGTGCGTGGCCATAGGTATCTTAGGTCCTAGCAAACGCTCCGGAAACAGTGTGCCACGGGGATGGAAATGCCATGGTGCGTTTACAGGGGAGATGAAGTGGGGAAGAGCTTGTGGGGCTGTGGGCATATTCCCCGGTGTCCTGAGAAGGGAGCTGCCTGCAGGCACCGTATTCAGCCTGGTGTCGCCTGGAGCTAACGAGTGCACTGGGAAATGGTGGGAGCAAGCTGCGACCCAGCCGGCTCTGTGCCTCCTCCTGGTGAGAAGGAGCCACAGATCAGGGCTCCTTTTTGAAGACAAATCTTGGAAGGAAGTGCTTGTTTCTAGCTTGTTTTTAAAATGCAGATGAAGGAAAACTGGTAAGTGGCTCTCTCTGCTCTGTGAGCAAATAATAATTATTTCTCTTTTTGAAGTAAACTCAACAAGCTGCTTTGCGGCCTTTTCTTGTGTATTGAACCTGTTTTCCATACCTTTCACAAGTCTGGTCATCCTGGTAGCATAAGGCAGGGAGAGCTGGTGTCTCCTGGAGTTGGTAATGCACAGTTTGTGTCACACACAGCTTGTCCACTGTTCGAGAGTTGGGTACGGAGGGCTTCTTTCAGGGCACAGCGCTAGAGGGTTGCGAGCACAGCACCTTCACACCATCTCCACTGGAAATGGAAGGAGCCCTCCTAGGGGCCAGTTTTCACACTCCCATCTTTCATCCAGGTGCTGTGAAGTGCCTTGCCCCTACAGACAAGTGGCCCCTGCTGCTACGTATCCTCCATGGTGTCACCTCTGCCTTCAGGTGGGATCTCAGGCCATAGTCCGACTGCTCTTACAGGGAGGACTCTGGAACTCGCACGTTCCTCGCGCGTTCACCTGTTTGCGTTTCTGAGGGTGTGTGCTGGCAGGACTTTGCCTGCCTGCGGGCAGCCTGCGTCCAGCGGGAGAGCAAACGCTCCTACCCACCTCTGGGTGAGGGTGAGGTGACGGAGTAGGATGTGT